CCCCCCCCCTCCCTCTCCCTCTCGCTTCATTAGTTCTGAAACTAAGGCTCTGTGGCAGTATTTCCCTGTATAAAGAATTAATGAAAGCTTGACTGGTTTTTCCAACATGCTTTAGGCAGTAAATTTGTTTAGCTTTCTTATAAAACCATCCATGGAGGCTGTTGGCACCTAAATATTTCAATAGTGAAGAAATATCGGCATGATGGTGTGTGTATGTGCACATGTGTGTGTAGAGGCCAGAGGTCAATATCTGATGTTACCTATTTCTCTCTACCTTGTGTGTTTTCTTGTTTGCTTGTTTTTGAGACAGAGCTTCTCCATGTAACCCTGGCTGAACCTGGAACTCGCTATGTAGACCGGGCTAGCCTCAAACTCAAAAGATCTGCCTGCCTCTGCCTCCTGAGTGCTGGGATTACAGGCGTGTGTCACCTTGCCTGGCTCCACCTTATTTTTTGAGAGAGTCTCTCACTGAGCCTGGAACTCGCCATTTCAGTTAGACTGGCTGCCAGTGAGCCCTGACACCCTCTTGTCTCTGGTTCATCAGAGCTGGGGTTCTAGGCAAACACTGACTTTTTATGTGTATCCTGAGGAATTCAAGCATAGCCCCCATGTTTGTGCAGCAAAGTTTTGATTCTAAGGAAAGATGTCATTCGTTCTCCATCTTGTATTCAGGATATGGAGTGTAGGCTCACCCATCAGTCCATCTTCTGACCACAGAGACACTGGCTCTTCAGGATGCCTGGGAGGGTCTCTGAGAAGTAGAGGGCTTCTTTTGCCTCCCTTCACTGTGAGGTGAACTCGAAACCATTTGCTCGCTTTCACTCTTACAAAGGTCACTACTGCTTTATCTGAGTTTCAAATCTAAAGGTGTATGTGTGTGTGTGTGTGTGTGTGGTCTAACTCTAGACTCTCTGAACTTGAAAGGACTTTAGCAACTGTTAAATGCAAGGGCTGCTGATGGACAGAAGAAAACAAATAGAAAGACGAGTCATTGGCTTCTGCATAGAATATCAGCTGCTCATGAATTACTCTATGCAATCAGTCTTAGTCCAAAATCCTCAGAGCTCCTGTCTTGCATGAAACTCAACAAAAAAATGTTTTGATGCTCACTTGAAAGAGTACATTTTTGGAAAAGAACAGGAGGAAAGGTGTTCTATTAAATATAAAACAATAAATTATAAAATTGTGATAACTTTAAAGGTTAAACAAAAATAGCTTAGTAATCTACAGGCAGGAAGAAGTGACAGCCAAGTTCCTGCCAGCCATTACTGCTTGAAAAGAAAGGCCTCAGATGGGGAGGGCTCTTCTGAGCCAAGGCTGGGACAGCTGGGAGCCTCAAGGCAGCAAAGCAGACCTTAGCCTCATGTGTTCACAAAAGAAAGCATCGTTCTATTAAATTTTCAGTTTGAAACCATGAGAGAGGATGGTTTAAATACAAGAGAATATTTACCTCCTTTCATGGTAGGAAAGGCCTTTTTATGTACCCACAAACACCGTAGTCCAAAACAGGGATGCAGGCACTGACTTAACAATAATCAATGTGTAACAAGCAACACAGCACACACTTGGCAGTCACAGGCAAACCTTGGCAAATATGGCAACAGTCTACATCAAGTGGCTGTGGTCGTGTTTGACAGTGTGGGTCTGCCCCTTACTACGTAGATTCAAGCTGTCTGGGGTATGTTATATTTTGTTGAACAGGTCTTCTCCCAGAGTAGTGTCCAGTATTGGAAGGGAAGGAGGCAGGTGCTCTGCCACCAGACACAAACTGTGGCGTGATGGAGCTGGAGAGGTGGCCCAGCAGGAGTGCTGTGCCTCCTCTGAAGAGCTGAGTTCAGGTCCCAGCCCCAGCATCAGGTAGTTCACCACTCTGTAACTCCTGCCACAGGGAGTCTGAGGTGTCTTTCTGGCCTCTGAGTGCACACTCAAACACAGAACCACATAGATAACCTTTGTTTGTTTGTTTGTTTGTTTGTTTGTTTTTTGAGACAGGGTTTCTCTGTATAGCCCTGGCTGTCCTGGAACTCACTCTGTAGACCAGGCTGGCCTCGAACTCAGAAATCCTCCTGCCTCTGCCTCCCAAGTGCTGGGATTAAAGACATGTGCCACCAATGCCCGGCTAATAAACAACATTTAAAACATTTTAAATACATACATACACACACACACACACACGAACACACGCATACATGCACGTGAGCACACAATATTATAGGTCACTTTTATTCCCCCTGCCCCCCCAAGATAGGGTTTCTCTCTGTAGCTTCGGCTGTCCTAGAACTCACTTTGTAGACCAAGTTGGCCTCAAATTCACAGAGACCCACCTGCTTCTGCCTCTGGAGTGCTGGGATCAGGCATGGGCCACCATGCCTGGCCCAGGAAAACTCATATTTCGTCCAGATTTTTTGAGGTGGAAAATTCAACCTCCAGTCTGGGTCACGCCTTGTGCTAGCAGCCTGTATAAAGGGCATGGAAGAAGGGAGCTTGCTCTCTGTGCCTGCTTGCCCTCACCTTCACTTTCAAGTCCATTCCTCCACTAGCATTGGTATTCCAGTGTATACTGAAGACCATCTGAGACATTGAGCCTTGTGGACAAAACAGCTATTAGATTCTTGGACTTTTTGTTCATAGCCGGCCATTGTTGGACAAGCTGAACCACAAGACTGTGCCACTGTAACAAATTCCATATGTATATGTATACAACCTATATGTATATGATGTATATGTATCCTATCTGTTCTGTTCCTCTAGAAAACTCTAGTACATTGTGTGTTCATGTGTGCAAATTTCCTGTAAAGGCCAAGGGGTACCTCAGGTGCTCCTCCTTGGGAACAACATCCACTGTGTTATATGGGACAGTTGTCTCTCACTCTCTGGGCGTCTGTCCAGCCAGCTGCAGTGACGCTCTCGTCTTCCCTTCCAGGGTGTGCACTGCCATGCTTGGCTTTGATTCTAGTGCTTCCTCGGCTTAACAATCCTGTTTGCAGAAAAAATTCAACATGTGAAAGGGGTGTGCACCCAAAGATGTTCTGACATTTATGATGGTGTAGTTTGCTAGAGTAACAAAATGAATATATACAGAATGAATATATATATGATGTATATAACGTATACATATGTGGACATGTACGAGGTGTCTATATATGGAATTTATTAGAATGGCTTACAGGCTCTGGTTCAGCTAGTCCAACAGTGGCTGACTGTGATCGAAAAGTCAAAGAATCCAGCAGTTGTTTTGTCCACAATGCTGATGTCACCAATGGTCTTCAGTAGACGTCAGAATCCTAAAGAAGGCTCTAATGCTACTGAAGGAATGGACTTGCTAGCAAGATCGACCAGAATTAAACAGGCAAAGACAGAGGACTCTCTTCTTTCATGTCCTTACATAGGCTTCCAGCTGAAGGGTTGCCCGGATTAAAGGTGTGTTAAAATCCAGGTTACAGGCGTGTCTTCCTACCTCAGAGATCTGTATTAGAAGTGGCTCTTTCTACTTCAGGTTCAGCAAAAGTCCCTCACTCCTGTGCCCTGCTATTTTCTTTAAATTTTACTTAATTCCAGATGTAGGCAAATTGGCAACCAAGAATAGCCATCACAGATGGTGAAAAATGCTTACAGATTCGTGGAGCTGTGGGCAAAGCTGGCAGCATGGCTCAATCACTTAGGGGATGTGATATAAACCTTCAAAAGCAGAGGCACTGAAGGCCCATGCTGGCACAGACATGCTGGTGGTAGCTGCAGCAGCTGCAGGCAGCCAGGACGGCAGGTGCCTGCTATGCGTTTGTTCATGAGCACTGGCTCTGAAGGTTCATGAGCAGCTGCAAAGGGGTTGCTGCTGTCAAGAACACTTCTTTGGCTTCAAAGACTCTAGCACTCTTTAGACCTTTTAAAATAAAATGTAAAATAGGGAGGGGCTACTCAGCTTGCTGAGGTGCTTGCTGTCAACTTTGACGACCTGAGTTCAATTCCTGGGACCCACATGGGGTAGAAGCCAAGAACTAACTTTTGAAAATTGTCTTCTGACTTCCACCTATGTACTGTAGCACCCACACAGCCACACTCACACACACACACACTCAGACACACACAGTCACACAGCAGAGAGGCACACACACATGCACACACTCATACAGTACACACTCACACATGCACACACACAGCACACACACACACATGCACACACACAGCACACACACACATGCACACACACAGCACACACAGACTCAGATATGCACACACATAACACACACATAGTACATACTCACACATGCACACACTCGAACAGCACACACACACAGCACATACACACAGTACACACACACTCTCTCACACATTCACACATGCACACACACCTACCCACTCACTCACATATGCATACACAAAATAAATAAAGGTAAAAACATATAGTGAAGAGCCTCTCCATACTGTTTATCTAGGGCTGGATCCTGGACAGCATCCCCGAGCGGCGGGAGCAGGCTCTGATGATCCAGACTCTGGGGCTGGCGCCCAAGCACGTCAGTGAGTAGAGCCCTGGCCCCAGCTGCCCTGAGCCTGCACTGCTCATTAGCATTGGCCGCCTCCCACCCTCTACCCTGGGCCCAATCACTGCCTACAGGACAGTTTCAAGGGCCTGGGACCCAGCAAGAAAAAGACACATTAGGGAAGTCCAGCCTCAGTCACAAGCTAAATGCATTGAGGGCTTGTAAGTAAGAAAATCAGGGTTCCTCATGTAAGGAATCCCCCTGCTGTGGGCCTCTTCAGGAAACTAAGGGAAAGACAGGTGGCAGGATCTGAATCACAAAGATCTCTACACCGTGATTTCCCACAGTGAAAATTAATGGCCAGGGACATGTGTCCCACCACTGACTGGTCTCGGAATGGTTTAGTGTCATCTGGGAGGTGGGTGACAAGGGGGGTTGAATGTGATCACGTGGCAGAGGTCTCAGACATGTGGTACCTGAGCCCAGCACACCTGTCTTGTTCCTTTCTTCTCTGCCCAGTCGTGCTTAATGCTCCCGACACTGTCCTGATCGAGAGAAATGTGGGCAAGCGGATAGACCCTGTCACTGGAGGTATGGCCCCCACAACCTCACTTGAGAGAATGCCCCTGTCCCACTGTCTGCTCTAGGCACGCATCAGGCCACAGCTGAGAGGGCTTGGCTCAGACCCAGAAGCCACTGGAAACAGAAATCCCAGAAGGGGTGTGGGGGTGGGGGTGGGGGTGGGGGGAGTCATCTTGGATAAAGGTAGCCTTGTCCTTGGGAAACTGGACTCTGGCTATTGACTGGGTCCAGGAAGCTGGACTCTGCAGAGCTTGCCTTAGGGTTCAGGTTCATGCATAGGGGACATTGTTCAAGGGGGCTGGTGTCCCTCTTCCTGGGAAGCCATGTGCCCCACGTTGCTTGCTCTGAGTGTGGAGGAGTAAGGCGTATGAGGTTCCTGAAGGACTGATCTGTGCTGCAGATGGGATCTTAAGTCGCCACATGAACAGGGCTGGGGGACAAGGGGAAGGTGCCTCTCCTGGGTTTGGGGTGAAAGCTCAAACTGCTGCGAGGGGGAATTGCATCTGCAAGGCCCATCCCAGGGCCCAGCACAAAGTGAACATGCAGAGATCCACGTCTCCCCTGAGCTCCAGGCTGAGAGGCACCGCTGCCTTTTATCTTGAGGTGATATGGAGTCTGTGAGTCATGGAGTCTAGCTTGGCTATGTGCTTGCTATGTAGGTGAGGATGACTTTGAACTCCTGACCCTCCTGCCTCCATTATAGAAGGCCTAAGAAGAGGGAGCCACTTGAGGGTCCCCAGCTTTGGAATGTTCTGGAGGGGGAATGGTACATCAGCCTTAGTTTTGAGAGAGTTGCCATGACTCCACCAAGCCCCTAAATGTCACAGACCACCACACCTGGTTTATGCAGTGCTGGGAATTGAACCCAAGGCTTTGTATATTTGAGGCAACTGTTTTACCAACTAAGCTACATCTATCCCCAACCACATCATTGTTGTTGTTGCTATGAATAACAACTGATGTTATTCACGCTCCCTTGTTGTTAGTGAGACACTTGCTGGCTGGAAATGGTCAGCCACATCCCTGGGCAGCAACAGGCAGGCAGTGCAGCAGTCCTGAGTGGTACACTAACCCTGTGCCTCTCCCTGTGCAGAGATCTATCACACTACCTTCGACTGGCCCCCCGAGCCTGAAATACAGAACAGGCTGATACAGCCAGAGGGCATCTCAGAGATAGAAACAGCCAAGAAGCTGCTGGAATACCACAGGCACATCATCAGGATTCTCCCTTCTTACCCCAAAATCCTGAAAACCATCAGCTCAGACCAGCCATGTGTGGATGTCTTCTACCAGGGTAAATACAACAGGCTTCCCCACCTCAGACCCACACAAGGGCCGGGGGGGGGGGCACTCTGAATACCTGATTACCCTCCCTGTCCCAATACACTTCAGGCTGACAACAGCAGTGGCTGGGATATGTGGGCACACTGGAAGGCAGGTCACTGATGGGCCATGCAGGGACACTTGGAGACCCCACCCCACCCCCGCCCCTACCCCAGGACTGAGATCTGACACCTGGGTGGGATGATATCCCCACAGAGGAGGTGATAGTGTGCAGGTGTAAAGAATGGCATAATGGTAGTAAAGTTTTGAGGCCTGATCTTGAAGGAGAAGAAGGAAATAAAGACAAAAACATATTCATCAACACAAAACATCAACACAACTTCATGAGTCAGAATAAGCTGCCTGCCACCCACCACCAACCACACTGCACAGCTGTCCCCGTACGCGACAGGTGCTCAAGGGCAGCCTTGCAAAAGTGGACTATTTATAAATATTAAAAAAATTGAAGTTTTGATGTCTCAAAATCCATTTCTCTCCTTCTGTATGATACTAGAGGGGAAAGGCATTTGAAACAAAAGTCTCACTGGCCTAGAACCCAGAAGGTGAGGCTTGCATCAGTCCATCTGTTACTTTGTCTGTCTGTACCTTCCAGCCTTGGGGTTATAAGCCTGGTGTCACACCTGGAATTTTGACAAAATAAAATTACGGCAGACATTTGAGACCCTTGATGGCCCCTTTCTCATAGTCTCTTTCAAATCTCTTCAAGGAAAAAGAAATTGGGGGGATGGTAGCGCTCTCGGTTGGTAGGGTACCTGAAGTGTTGGCCTCCACATAAAGCCTGGCACAGCGGCCTACGCCTGTTATCCCAGGTCTTGGCAGTTATAGACAAAAAAGCAGATGTTCAAGGTCTTTTCTGTTACGTAGAGATTTTTGAGGCCACCCTGGGCTGCATGAGACTGTGTGTTTAAAAAAGAAAACAAATCATTCAAAGCTGAGTGTGCTGCTGCATCTGGGAAAGCCCATCCTTAAAGATGCTAAAGCAGGACGGCAAGGAGAGGCCAGCCTGTGAGGTGCTGCGAGACACTGCTGCAGACTTCTCATCTGAATTTGAAAAGTCCACAGAGCCCTAGGTGTGGCTTCATTGGTAGAGGGCTTGCCTATTGTGCTGAAGGCAGTCCCTGCACCTGGGAGGCGAGACAGGAAGATCAGAAATGCAAAGTCATCTTCAGTGGGGGGGGGGTTCAAATTTGAGGCCAATTAGGGCTAAGAGAGACCCTGACATAAAAGGCAAGGCAAGGCAAGTGGTGTTTGCTTTGGGAACAGGAGAGCCTGAGGTTAGTCTCCAGCACCCATGTGACAAAAACCAGGTGTGACAGACCATGCTTGTAACCCTAAGGCTGGGAGGTACAGACGGACAGAGGTACAGATGAGCAGATCCCAGCCTCATCTTCTAGGCCAGTGAGACTTTTGTTTCAAAAAATGAAGTGGATGGCTCCTGAGAATGTCCTCTGACTTCCACACAAATGTACACATGTGTTCATGTGTACCTGTGTGCAAGCAAACACACACACACATGTACACACACACACACACACCAAAATGAAAAGCATCATTTTGATTGGGTACAGACTTCGGACACTCAGACTTGTGTGCTAACCTCTGCAGTCCTCTCTGGCTGGGGCCTAGCTGTACACTCTGAGGAAGACCAGGCCCCCTACCGTCTAGAAGGCGATGCTGCTTGCATATCAGGTTGAAGCTGCCTTGCAATCTTCCAGAGCTCTGCGTCTTGGAAAGATCTTTAGCAGCAAACACGTGCTCTTAAGCTAAACGTCTACCACGCTTATCTAACGCCACGGTTCCAAATTTACACATTAATTACTTCTAAATTACTTAATTAAATTTAAAAGTTCATATGATCATTCATAAAGAATTCATGCCTGGAATTGTAAATAAAAACGTGAGCATCTAAATATTAATTATTATTAATTAATAATGCGGAGAGATAAATTGAAAATCAGGCTGCGAGATTCCCTCTGTGTTGTTTGTTTAATCTCTTCTCGGTGCATCCAGCAGCGTCTATGTCCAAAAAGAATAGCTGGATGTGGAGACTGTCTGGGGGATCGCTACTTCTAATTAACTGAGTTATTTACTGTAAATTAAGCATCGTTTGTAAGTGGGGTGCTTCGTGGTAGTGGCTGTGCTTTTCAGAGGTGCTGGCTTCAGGAAGGCGTGAGGGGAGAGCCATGAGAGAGTGCCCTGCTTTGAGCTTCCCCAGAGGAGGCTTGGTTCATGTGTACCTCTCAGCCACAGCTTTGAGAGTTGCCATGACTGTGTCTGAGAGGACAGTGACAGCTCCCTCACGGGATGGCATGGAATAGTTCATCAGCAGTTCACACGTGTGGCTGTGGTGTGGTGTGCCCACGACAGAGGTGACTGCAGCGTTGGGGTGCTCAGCTTTAACCCACTGCGCTGCTAGTTCTGAGAAGAGGGAGCTGTAAACCCTAATGACCAGTGAGATGGTCCTATAATGACGCCAGGGTCCAGGCCAGGGCAGACAGCTCAGCCAGTAGAGTGTTTATGTCAGCATGAGGCTTGAGCTTGGATTCCCAGCAACCATGTTTAAAATACCCCCACACACATACACAAACAGACACATGTAGACCCTTGTCTATACCATATATGCAACCCCCACCCCCCAAGATTCCAAAGTCTGCATATGAAGAGATCCCCTGATGCTCAGTTGCGCTACTTCTTGCCTGACCATAGAGTTCACCCTCCAGGGGAAGGCATGTGATCCTGTCAGAACACATTTATTGAACATGGATAGATGCTAACGTGGGCTTCAAATGCCTCTTGCACCAAGTTTGGAAAAATCTCATAACAGACACACCTACCCATGCCTTCCTGAAGGAGACATGTTGGCCCAGCCCCTCTTCAGGACAGGATCTCCTTGACAAAGGAAGATTGGTAGGTGCCACTCACAGTGACCTTGCACAGACAGCCTGGGGGCCTTGGCAGGAGGCGAGGCCTTAGGGAGGAGAACCTTGTCTTGAAGGCTGTCAGGGATTGGCCCAAGTCTGTGGGCTCTCTGGTGGACAGCTGTCCTGTGCTTGTCCCGACCAGGCAGCTCTCTGGGAGCCTCTGCTTGTCCTCACGGCTCCTGTTGGGTGGGTGTAGGAGGGGACATGCTTAGTGTGCAGTAGGTCCTCCCTGAACTTTCCAGCATCCTGTGCCTTCCCACAGCAAAGATTCTTCAGTGTTGATGTTCACCCCGTCTTCCCACCTCTCTCTTCATCAAATGCCAGCGGTGCGGCTCGGTCAGGAAAACCTGGCTGAGTCTGCCCGCTCCTGTGACCTATTTCATTACGGCCTTTTTGGAGACTTGCAACAAAGTTAGTGTCCCTGGAGTGTGGATGCACAAATTATTCTCCACCGATTCCTGAGTCCTTTAGAAGTCCCTGCACACCAGGTTCCCTCTCGGCCTGATGCACATATCAAAGCCTACGTGTGACATACAGCCCACACCTCCCCTAGGAGACTAGCCTGGTCCTGTGGCTTCAGGTTAGAGACTTGGGCTGGATGAAGGCTGGAAACCACCTAACTGAACAGTAAATAAGAAATGCTTTCATGCCCAGGGTCAGCCTCCCACCTCCAATACACTCAGCCCCAATTCAAATCGGGGGCAAACAGCTGCCTGCCGCACGCTGTGGAGAGATGCCAGGGCAATGCTTAGAAATTGCATGACCCCCTGTACACCTCGGTGCCTGGGTCCAGCTGTGCAGACCCTCCCCCTGATGATTCCTCTATTGTCTAAATGTCAGGCACACAGAGGGGTCACACTGCTGCGCTGCAAGCAGGCAGAGCCCAAGCAGAGGTGTGGGCTGGCTTCTTTTCCCATAGGACCTGGGTTTGATGTTATCAACTCCTCTGTTCTAGCTCTGACCTACGTCCAATCTGGCCACCGATGCAATGCCCCATTCACCCCCAAGGTGCTGCTGTGTGGGCCATTGGGCAGCGGGAAGAAACTGCAGGCCGCCCTTCTGGCCCAGAAATATGGCCTTGTGGACAGTAAGTATCTCACTAAAAGTGCTGCTTGCTGTCTTCTGCCTGCCCAGGCTTTGTGTGTTCCTAGCTGATGGGAAAGAAGCAGTAACAATAATCTTTCCTGTTCTTGGTCCTTAACACTTCCCCTCAGCTCACCCGTGTGGGGATAAGAAGGTTTCCTTTAAAGGGCATTGCCATAAAGACGTTAAACAATAAACCGTGTCCATGGCACACAGGGCCGGACCATTTTCTCGCCGTCCATTTTCACCTCCATTGGCGAAATCTTCTTCACTGTCCTTTCGGAGGCCACCCCTCACTCCCCCAACCCAGGTCAATGTGACAACAGACAACACTTTCTGCACCAGAGGAAGGCATCTTACTCTGCACAGTTTCAATAAATATTTTACCAAGCAGAGAGAGAAATATTGAAATCAGCTCTCCAGGTCTTTGCTGAGGTGGTCCCAGGCGGCTTTGGCTGCTGGCCTGCGTTAGTAGGATCAAGGGTTGGGCAGGAGAGAAAAGCCTGCTGAAGGCCCACGGAATGGTGCTGGGGGCATTCAAAGGTACTGCCCCTGTGTGCCACAGCCCTACTGACTTCCAGAAAATTACTCCCCGCCCCCAAATACACAAATGTGAACAGACACTCCTAAATCAGTACACACATGCAAAGATATCTAGAGATAGATTATAAACGTGATCACGTTTTGAATCAAATAAAACTCCTTTCATTTAATGTGTTTGTCTATTAAAGATGTGGAGGGATGAGTTGGAGAGGCAACTGTGCCGTTACCCACACATCTCCAGGCTTCATCTCTTGGTGAGATATGGGTTTCCACCTCCCATTTTCCCTCAGCCTGGAGAACTTCCTTTAACATCTCTTCTCCTTAAGATCTGCCAGCGACAACTTCTCTCTCCTTTCATATGTCTGAAAATATCATTTTCTTGCCTTCATTTTGAAGAATGCTCGTTACATATAGAAATCTGTGTTGACAGACTCGGTTGTGGGCTTTTCCCCCCTTGGTACTTTGAAGGTGTCATTCCACTGTCTCCTGGCCTTCGTGTTCTGATGAGAACTCAGATTATTTTTGTGTCCTGTCACCCTGCCTATAGAAGCATCCTTTTCCCCCTCTGGCGGCTTTTAGTGTTTTCTCTTTCTTGTTGGCTTTTAACAGTCTTCGTACAGTTGCATAGAGGAAGACTTACTTTGTGTTTATTCTTCCTGGGACACATGGATTCTTAGATGTCCTATCTGTCACCAAAATCTGAAATTCTGCCACCACTGCTTCCTGTGTGTTTTATGTTCCTCTCCTCCTCTCCCTGTTTGCTAGGACTCTGATGATGAGTGTGTCTGACTGCCCAGCACTGCCCTGGGCTGGCCACCGTTCTGCTCTGTGCTCAGGGTTAGATTCATCCATCCCACGTTTCTCAGTTACTAGATTGTATCATCCAGTTCTGAAGATTCTCTAGTAGCTGTGTTTTTCTGGTTTTCATTGGTCTGCTGGAGCTCCCCATCTGTTTATTCATTTTAACTATTTTTTTTCTTTTAAGGTTGAAAGTGCACTTTTGTGCTGCTGCTCCACTGCCTTGGTGTGCTGATTCTGATGATACATTGCCTATTGACCTGATCCTAGGGTCCATTTCCTTTCTTATAAAGGTTTGCATGTTTCTAATTTTTCCAGTAATTTCCATTTTCATACTTGGACACTTTGGTGCATGTGTTGAGAGTGGATTTTGTGCTTCTGTATTGAGAATTTTAAATTCAGGGCCAGTGTGATGGCTCAGAGGATAGCCACTGGCTCACAAGCCTCATGGCCTGAATTCTATCTCCATATCCAACAAGATGGCAGAGGAAAACTGACTGACTCCTGAGAGCTTTTCTTTGACTTTCACACATGTGCTAAGTTGAGACCCAAAGGAATAGGCAGAGTGTGGTAAAGGAGCAGGCCTGCTCTCTTCTGACCTGTGTGCATATGTGTGCATGCACTGACACACAGACACACACACACACAGACACACACACACACACACACACAGACACACACACACAGACACACACACACACAGACACACACACACACAGACACACACACACACAGACACACAGACACACACACACACACACACACACACACAACTGGGGCTGAGGAGATGGCTCAGTGCTGAAGAGAATCTACTCTTCTAGGATCTGAACTTGGTTTCCCAGTGTCCCTGTCAGCTGGCTCACAACTGCCTGTAACTCCAGGACATGTTAATCAGTCATCTTCTGCCCATATGTGCACACACACAGGTTTATGAATCATTAAAAAAAAAAAAAACAGCTCTGGCCAGGCAGTGGTGGTGCATGTCTTTAATCCCAGGTTTCGGGAGGCAGAGGCAGGTGGATTTTTGTGAATTCAAAGCCAGCCTGGTCTACAGAGCAAGTTCCAGGACAGCCAGGGCTACACAAAGAAACCCTGTCTTAAAACAAACAGCCAAACAAACAAAAACAAGCAAACGATTGTGGCTTTGGCTAGGGATGAAAGCTTCTAGGGGCTTAGGAGTATTTGTTTGTTTCTTTGTTTGTTTGATTATTCAAAAGCCACTGACCAAACTCTCTCATGTGCTGGTTGTGGAATGGGGCAGAAGACACAGTGGGAAAAGACAGAAAAGGTCTGCTGCAGTGGACATGCAACCAGGGCAGTGAAGAATGTGGCCTTGGTCCTTTCAGGAACACTCATCTGTCCCCAGGACCCGGACAAATGGAAGGGCTGGGTTATCACTGTGCTTCCCAGCCTCCCTGCATCCACACACTGTGAATGTGTCCCCAACTGTGTGCTCTTCCTTCATTGCAACCCAGAGAGCACCCAGTCTGTGTGGCAGTTCTGGGTAGACCCAGGGCCCTGCAGAAGCCTCCCTGTGAGCGACAGGCTCGTTAGTGTCTTCCCGAGTGGTCCATTCTTGATGCTCTCTGGCAAATGCATTCCTTTTCATTCGCCTTCTCCCTCTCTCCTCATTTCCAGGTTACCTTTTTGATATTTACTTTCTCTTGGACACCCCACACCCTTTTATATATTTCTTTCAACAACCTTTCCCACCCCAGCAGGCAATGTGAGCCGGAGCGTCTTTTCTCTCATCCATCCTTCCTTCTATTTAAAATTTAACAGTGTCTCCCCTCTTCTCCCCGCAGTCAGCTGCGGGCAGCTGCTGAAGGAGGCTATAGCAGCCAAGTCAGCCTTCGGGGAGCTCATCCAGCCATTCTTTGAGAAGAGGATGACAGGTAGGTAGACTCCACTACCTACTAACTGCCTCAGCCTAGTGGCTCTGGGGCAGGCACTCTGTCCACCTGTGGGCACAGGGAGGGGACTGCAGATGTGCCATGGCTGTGGCTTGCTGTTTAGGGAAGACAGAGTGGCATCCAGACCTGATCCCGTGCCAGGTAAGTCACAGATGTGGTGGTTTGCCACTGGAAGTTTAGAACATTCCTTTTCTTCCTGGTTAGAAGGTTTACTTTTCACAACTGATAGTGTGCTTACAGGGTGGGGTACCCAGAGGAGCTGCTGAAAGCCAGAAGGTTCCTCTAGTTTTACAAATTCCAGGATGAATCAGAGGAGGGCTTGATAGGGAAATGTATCAAATAGTCTTTCCAAGTTCCCTGTGTTGTCTACACTCTGAAAGCATTCCTGAATCTGACTCTCCAGAAAAGCATCTCTGAGTTCTCAGGCCAGCTTCCCAAGGCAGTACCACATACACTGGGTATGGTGATGCACACCTGAAATCCCAGCACTCGGGAGGTGAGGATCACTCTCAGCTACATTATGAGTTTAAGGTTAGCCTGAGCTGTGTGGGATCCTGTCTCAAAATAATAATAATAATAATAATAATAATAACAATAATAATAATAATGGTGGCAGTTGGAGCAAACGCGGCGGTGGCACCTGACATGTGTCTGAGAGCCCGCCCCTGCCCCAAGAGTGCTAAGGTCCGCGCTGCAGATAGGTGGACTGAGTGAATGAACAGGATGCCAGAGGCATCCAGACAGCTGGGTAGCCTTGGCTTTTGCCCTGTGCTGTGCCATTCATGACTGCGTGAAAAACTAGCTCCCCACCAGCAAGCACCTGGGAGATCAGACCCAAAGAGAGTGACCAAGCCAAGGTCACAGAGTCAACAGCAGCCGTGAGTGCACAGCAACCCTTGACCCTTTGTGTAACATGCCCCATGTGTCCCCCCAAATATGAAATTACCACAAAAAGCAAGCCATTTGACTAGTTCCCAGGTTCACATCTCTTGTGTTATTCTATGAGGTGTGTTTTCTCGAGTATACAAACTTGACAGCATGCCCGATTATTCATTGACGGATTGGATCAATGGATTAAAGTCACACCCATTGACACTGGGGTACTGAATATTGTGCTGGTGTGCATGCCTACCTCATCGTGTGCCTGCTTCCTCCATCTCTTAGCCCCTTCTGGTTGTCACCAGCATGTTTGTTGGGTAACAAGCCTTGTAGTTCAAGATAATACAAGTCTATTTTATTATGGAGGCCAGAAATCCTGAACTAAAGGGTTGTCCTGGCTCTGGCAAGAATGTACACCCAGCTTCTAGAGGCTTCCTGTATTCCTTGTCTGCTAGGGTCTCCTCCCTTTTAGAAGCAAAGCAATGTAGTGTTTTCTATCTCTGTCTTTGTGTCTCTCCTTCTTTCTGTCCCTCTCTGTCCCTCTCTGTCTCTGTCTCTGTCTCTCTGTCATCTCTGTCTCTGTCTCTCTCTCTGTCTCTGTCTCTCTCTGTCTCTCTCTTTCTCTCTCTCTCTCTCTCTCTCTCTCTCTCTCTCTCTCTCTCTGCCTCTCTGTCTCTTTGTGTCTTTTTCTGTCTCTGTCTCTCTTTCTCCCATGCTTTTTCTGTGTAGGCACACTCACTCTGTAGACTAGGCAGGCTTGAACTCACACAGATCTGCTTGCTTCTGCTCACTGAATGCTGGCATGAAAGATGTGTGCACCACACCCAGCTGTCCTTGGCTTCTTATCCCCAGAACTGAAAATAGTGACTCACACAGATGTGCAGAAGTAGAAAGGAAGCTTCATTTAAAAGCAAAGCTGGAGAGATGGATCAGCGGTTAAGAGCACTGACTGCTCTTCCAGAGGTCCTGAGTTCAATTCCCAGCAACCACATGGTGGCTCACGACCACCTGTAATGGGATCTAATGTTCTCTTCTGGTATGTCCAAAGAGAGCAATGGTATACTCATATGAATAAATAAATAAATAAATAAATAAATAAATAAATCTTAAAAAAAAATAAAAGCAAAGCAACAGCTCAGATCAAAAGTACACTGTCCAAACAGACAGTGGCCATATGTGTGGTTATTGTCCAGGGCTTTCTTCTTACAGCGGTTTCAGAGGAGGAGTTTGGTAAGGAGTGTGGTGAGAGCTGGTCTCTGTTTTGATAAAGAGATTTTGACTGTGTAAACCTTTGTTCACTGTGCATGCCCCTTCCCATGATGCATCTGGCTTTAATCACACTACTGAGGCATAAGGTGGTGAATAGGGAACTTGTCCTAAAAATGTTCAAGGACACAGTTTTTCTTACTGCACATGCACCTAAAACCAGTGTAATCTGGTCCAACCCCCAGCCTGTAATTGTTGGATTGTGCCTGTGATATGTTTGAGTAGAAATGGGGTGTTTTCAAGGGGAGTGTACAGGTTAGTTTTTGTCAACTTAACACAAACCTGGACATATTTGGGAAGAGGGAACCATCGGATTGGCCTATGGGCGTGTCTGTGGGTTGTTTCTTGATTGTTGATTGATGTGAGAGTCCACTGTGGACTCCCTAGGCTGTTGGAACTTGGCTGTAGAAGAAAGGTAACTGAGAAAGCCACAAAGAGCAAGCCAGTAAGCAGCACTCCCCTATAGTCTGTGCTTCAGTTCTTGCCTCCAGATTTCTGCCCTGGCTTCTCTCTGTGATAGGCTATAACCCAGAAGCCAAATAAACACTTTCCTCCCCAAGCTGCAGAAACTAAGCTAGGACAGGGAATAACTTATTTCCATCGTCTAAAGCAGGCTGGGGTTCCTAGGCTGCTTAACCGGTTGCTAGAGGCACTGTTTGGAGAGGGGCAGGTGAGTGGTCCAAGCCAAGCAGAGTCTGAAGTTGCTAAATTGTTCCTTATGCTTGTTGCCTCGAAGGCATAGATGTCGACTGGGGCTGGAGAAGTGCTCTTCTGCCTCCCAGAAAAGTAAGCTTTGCTCATCCGTTAGACCAACAAGGAACCTGGTTTTAGTTGCGATCACCTTTTGATTATAAATTTGATTATAATGGCAGGGCTGACTATGATTTGCTAAGATAATTGTTCCATGTATTCCCAGTTTTGTGAATTGCTGTGGCTTTTGTTCCTCTTTACCCAATCTTTATTCGTTGGTTGGTTTATTACAGTGTAGGGGATGGAGCCCAGGGGCTAGCACTAGGCAGTGCCCTGCCGCTGCCCTTCCTTCCAGCTCTACCAGATGTGAAGGTCTGGGCTGTTTGGTTGGTTGCCTTGACTCCTTTCGAATGCTCTTACGTGCTGTTACCAGTTCTCCCACGAGGTCCTTATGCCTACTGTATACTTTAGGTCACAGACTATTTTTGAACATTTGGTATTGTTTCGGGGTGGGTGGTGGCTTGTCCCAGCCCCTCTGTTCTCAGGTGTCCTGCAGTGTCACCATCACCGAGTGGGGGTGGGAGAGAGCCACTTCCCCTCAGGAAGTCTGGCCCCTCTCAGCACACAGTGGCTCCTTCAGCCTCCACCCAGACAAGTCAAGTAGGCCCTTCTGAGGCTGACAAGCATGGCTTTCACCCTGATCCTGGGTCTCGTGAATATGAGACAGGTTCCTGTCTCTCCGGATGGCTCCCCTCCTCTGCTTGCGACATTTTATCCCTTCACTGCTCTGTGTTTGTTTAGACTGAACACCACTCTGCATTCACGTATCCTACAAATAATTGACACAACAACCATCACATCATACCTTCCCAACAGAAGCAACAAATCCTGCATCTTGTCTCACTAAGCCCGCTCTCACTGGCATAGAGAAGTGCATTTACGTAACATCACCACTCAGGGCTTCATTAGTGGCTTCAGGGGTAGCTGCCAAGCCAGTTGGAGCTCTGGGCGTGAAGAGGGGACACAAGCACTGCTCAAGCTGGGGAGGCCGCTCCTCACAAGCTGGGCAGGAAGGTGGGGTGGAACAAGGGACCTGACCATCCACAGCCACGCCCACTTCCAAGTCTCTGCTGTGTGACAGCCTGGAGGAGGCTATCCGAGCACAGTGCTATCTGTGATTCAAGAGGTGTGTTAACGATCAGGCTTGAGGAATGACTGCCCCTGAGTTCTGATCCTGTGACTGTTAGCGTTGTCTGTCAACTTGACAAGGTCTGGCAGTACCTAGGAGACAAGCCAGGAGGCACACCTGTGAGGGACTGTCTTAGTTATGGTAACTAATGCAGGATGGCTCACCTTGGTGAGCAGGAACATTCCTGTCTGGGATCCTGGACTGTGTAAGCAGAGGAAGGGAGCTAAGTGGCAGTGTATGTCCATCGCTCTCTGCCTCCTGAGTGTGGCTGTGACATCACTAGCTGTGTCTTAGTCAGGGTCACTATCGCTGATAAGACACCATGACCAAAGCAACTTGGGGAGGAAGGGGTTGATTTGGCTTAGGCTTCCATATTACCATTTATCATTGAAGGGATCCAGGACAAGAACTCCAATAGGGCAGCAACCTAGAGGCAGGAGCTGATGCAGAAGCCATGGAGGGTTCTGCTTATTGGCTGTTCCCCATGGCTTGCTCAGCCTGTTTCTTATGAAAGCCAGGACTATTTACCCATGGATGATACCCCTCACAATGGCCGGGCCTTTCAGCATAAACCAGTAATTAAGAAAATGCATCTTTTGGAGACACTTTGTGTATGCATGTATATGCATGTATCTGTGTGTATGTGTATATGTGTCTTCAGATTCCTAGTCATATTCTAGTATCTTAGCCTTGAGTGCCAGCAGCAGTCCCAGGAATGTGGAAATACTAAGTTATAAATTTTTCCAAAGATAATCAAGACCCACAAGATACAGAGAGTTGGGCTAACCAGGCACGGAGGATTATAAAAGCAGAGAGACTATCAAGAAATGTGTTACGTGACTGTAATCACAGCACTTTGGCACAGTGAGTAGAGTCAAGAGTTCAAGGCTATTCTCAGCTATGTAGCTTAAGTTTGGGATTTTGGTTTATTTGTTCTTGTTTTGTTGCTGCTGCTGTT